CCAAATGGGGAGTGATTTCAGCAGATGGAAGAGCTTGTTTTTTTCTTTTTCTTTTCTTTTTTTTTAAGATTTTTGTTTTTATTGGAAAGTCAGATGTACAGAGAGGAGGAGAGACAGAAAGGAAGATCTTCTGTGTGCTAATTCACTCCTCAAGTGGCCACAATGGCCAGAACTCAGCCAGTTCAAAGCCAGGAGCCAGGAGCTTCCTCCAGTCTCTCATACAGGTGCAGATTCCAAGGTTTTGGGCCTTCCTCTGCTGCTTTCCCAGGCCACTAGCAGGGAGCTGGATGGGAAGCAGGGCCACCAGGACATGAACTGGTGCCCATACGGGATCCCAGCACATGCAAGGCCAGGACTTTAGCCACTACACTACCACAACAGGCCCCAGATGGAAGACCTTTTATTTTTTAATCTTTCATTTATTTATTATTATTGTCATCATTTTATGATACAATTCCCTAGGCCCTGGGATTTCTCTTATCCCCTCCCCAATTCTCTTCCCCTACACTGAGTTTCCCTATATCATTACTATAGTATAGTTCTTTATACACAGTCATATGTCCATCATTGCAGACATGGACAATGGCAGAGAGTCCAGCATCTTATTGTCAAGATATAATAGTAACCATCTTAATTCCCCCACCCAGATGGAAGACCTTTATCTCTACTTCTCTGTGTATATTTGTCATCCCAATGAGAATAAAGAAATAATTTTTTAAAAATGAAAAATAAATTGCCTTTCATACTTCTCCCATATTTTTGTAGTAGAAAAAAGCACCATGACCCCCATTGAGAAATCACAAGGTGTTTATAACAAAGATGCTTTCATTTGGTATGGGTTCATCTACAAGACAGTTCTAAAGTTTTCATTTTATCTGGTTTAGAATAAAAATGTATACACATTTTCTCTTACTACATGATGTAGCTACACATTTTTTTCCATTGATGTTTCTGGTGGTCAATTTGACTAGGCTATATGACCTGGCTAATTGAACAATAATGTATGGTTTGCTTTGAAGGCATTGAGTATGTATTTAACCTCTACAATGAGTCCATTTTAAGTAAAGAATGCTGCCATCTAAGACAGTTGTGGCTCATCCACATTTTAAGAAGTCTTAAAAGTAAAATCTGGAGCTAGTGCATTGGTGTAGTGGGCAAAGACTCCCTCTATGGTTGGACCCAGCATCCCACATGAACACCAGTTTATGTCCTGGCTGCTCCACTTCTGATTCAGCTACCTGATTGTGGCCAGGGAAAGCAGCAGAGGTGACCCAGGTCCTTGGGTTCCTATGCCCAAATGGGAGACCCAGAAGAATCTCATGACTCCTGTCTTCAGACTGGCCCAACTGCAGGCACTGTGGCCATTTGCGGAGTAAACCAGCAGACGAAGGATCTCTCACTCTGTCTCTCCTTCTCTCTCTATGGCTCTGCCTTTCCAGTATAAACAAATAAACCTTAAGGAAAAGGAAAGAAACCTAAGTTCTCTCAGAAAAAACATATTGTACCTGAAGGCATTAGCATTCTCTCAAGCCTGAGTTTCCAGCACATCAGTTTATCTTATAAATTTAAAATTGATTAATTTTGTAACTAGACCAGTTCTATACATTAAAGAGTTATATATTTATAACACATCATATGCAAGCATTATTTTTCTGGAACATATTGATAAGACATTAAAATTTGATGACTAAAATATTTATATACACAATGAAAATATGTACCTTCTTCATCTTGTTTTTTAACATTTCTATTAGAGTAAGATTGCAGCCTAAAAGAAGAAAATGGTAGGGAAGCTGGCAAGAATACATCCATCCTGGTTCTAAATATCATGCCATCACAGTATTTGCATGGAAATATTTTTTAAAATCATCACTAGTAAAGATTAAACTGTTATGAATAAAATTTATATCACAATGAGTGCCATGAAATTAATAGTCTCTTTAGCTATTAAACGTACAAATATGTCTCCATAATAAATCAAGTCTAATATCGTGAATGAGAAAAAACTTTTGCTAGCAAACAGAAGTTTCATCCTACACATCATAAACTCATGTACACAGGAATTTTAATAGCTTTACTCACTCATGTACCTGATTTACTAAATGGGTTTTAGGCATTTGCTGTGATCTCAAGAACTCTGTAATTATTACTTGCAGCCATTGTCTATGCCCCCGTGAAGCAGGGTATTTCTGCTTTTGAAAAACAAAAAAATCAGAAATTGACTCTTTTTTTTCAGGTTGGCGCATTCCTTTATTACACTGTAGTGCTTTCTTTAAATGCGGTCATTTAATGTCCAACAGCGTGACACAAGCACACACGGGAAGGCGTGGACATGGGGCCCACCCGGGATGTCCACCCCAGCACCTGTGGAGCTGGCAGAAATGATTTCTATGTTTCTATAAATTATTGAAAGATACATTTTAATAAAAATATTGAATTAATAGAATATACTTGTTATCTTAGCAGTGTTACCATGCAGTATTTCGAGAGATTATTGCAATTCTAAGCAACATTCTAGGCTGGGATTAATTTAGGTAGTAATGAGACATTGTGGCCTAGAGGATTAAGCCACCACCTGCAATGCTGGCCTCCCATATAGATGCTAGTTTGTGTCCCAGCTGCTCCAATTACAATACAACTCCCTACTTAGGTTCCTACTTGGAAAGTAGTGGAGGATAACCCAGATATTTGACCCTTGCTACCTGCATGAGAGATCTTGATGAAACTCCTGACTCCAAGCTTCAAACTGACACGAGCCCAGCCACTGGGACCATTTGGTTAAAGAACCAGCAGGTAAAAGATAGACTGTGTCTCCTCTCTAACTTTATCTTTCAAATAAATCAGTAAATCTTTTCTTTAATCAGTAAGTAATAGGCTTTATGAGTCAAATATATAACGTTTCCAACTTTTTCTTCCCTCAAATGTGCTACAAGGATAAAGAGAAGAAAACAACAACAACAAAAAGAAATAAGAGAAAAGGATTCAATGAATCTAAGAGGCACTTACTTTTTTTTCAAGATTTATTTATCTGAAAAGGCAGAGTTTCAATGAAAGAGAGAGAATTAATCATTCATTGCATTCCACTCTCTGAATGGTCACAAAAACCATGTTGGGCCAGGCAGGCTGAGGCCTAGAGCAAGGTATTCATCCACATCGCCCACAGGGGTGCACTTAAAGCAGTCTGTGCTGCTTTCCCAAAGTACATTACCGGGAAGCTAGACTGCAAGTAGAGCAATTGGAACTTGAACCAGCACCTACCTATATGGGATGACAGTGTTGCAAAAGGCAGCTTAACTTGCTGTGACCATAAAACCAGCCCTTGGAATTCTTCATAAAAGGAAGACAGAAATGGAATGGAAGAATGGCATTAACTTATCAAAACATAAAAAGAATGGCTATTTTCCTAAGTTAATGGAAACCAATGAGTCCTTCTTGTCCCTCTAGTCACCAGAAGGCTTGAGAATCAGAGGCATGATCCTTCTGGCAGGGAAAGTGCAGCTAGAATACTAAAAGCAAAATTATTTGTCCATCTGAAGAACAGTCAAAACCATACCTCCATGTTAATGTAGGGAACCCAGGCACTATTCCCTGCAGGAAAACAGAATACATGGAACAGCAGAATCAAGGCACTAGGCTTTGGTGAGCAGGTGAGAAGCAAGGGACTGAAGACATACCAGAAAGATCTGAGTTGGTAGGTAAATGGTAAGACTTCCAGCTCCTTACTCAATTAGCTGTAATAGCTCAGTAGTAAGATTATACTCAGCAAAAGTGAGCATGGCCAAAGATCCACAGAATTTGAGTTTAGGGAAATATTGAAACAGCGTTTCCGAAGGAACCAAAAAATCATAGAGTGTGGATAGTGTTCTGCTTATACTTTTTCAAAAGCATCTTACATACATAGGTAAAAAAAAAGGGTAAAATAATCATTGGCCTTTTGGTGGAAATACTTAAAATAATGTCACTACAAACTTTAAAAATTAAATTAAATGAGGCCACTGGAAGGAGACTTTCTGAGAACAATAGCAAACTTTAAATAAGCTGCAAAACACTTCCACAGATAAGGTGTTGTGTACTTACAACAAACACAGGATAACCCTTTCAAATGATATAAGAAATAATTCTTGAAAATTAAATCTGCAAAAACTGAAATTAAGAAGTCAATAGAACAGCTGAAAATGGAACTAAGAACTTTTTCCTGGTGTTAAACCAGAGGCAAAAAGACATAAAATAGAAATGAATCCTAGAAAATCAGGTGTGACCTTCAACATAAAAAGGGCAGTTGAAGAAATAACAGAAAATATAATTGAGAGGACATTATATAAGACATTACTCCAGTAACAAAGTTTATTTTACAGATTGACAACTGCATCACAGTGAAAGAACAGCATCCCACAAAGCAATGTATTGGGAAATTTCAGAATAGGACTAATCTCTCAAAGGCAATGCATACAAGAAGATGAAAGATGCGGGAGAAACACATCAAAATTCCAAAAGAAGTGGTAGGTATTTGCTACTGTAGATAAAACATTGTTGGGTGTACCACATTTCCTATCAGATACTTGAAGCTCTGGATCAGGTTTTGATTCCAGCTTCCTGCTAGGATCGACACAGGGGGGTCAGAAGAACAGGATCCATTGAGTTGGGTTCCTACCACACACATAGGAAATGAGGATTGAATTCCATGCTCCTGAGTCCCATCCAGCCCAGTCCCAGCTGCTGCAAGCATTCAGAGAGTAAATCAGGGTCCATCCAAACATCTCTGGCTGCCTGTCTCTTTTTCTTTCACTCCCCCTTCCAAATAATTAAATTTAAAATCACTTTTTGTCTGAATTCTCGTACAGGGATTATCGATAATTTGTATGTGGAGAACCTGACTCCCCATTGCTTAACGGGTGAAGCAGGAACAGAACCCCATTATTTAAACTCTAAAACATTCCTGTTGTCCAAACGCCATAATGTTTATTTTCATAAAGCATTCATCTCAGTGCATGCATACTTACATTTCATCACAGCTTGAATTTCATAAACAGGCTTGAGAATCAGAGCACCACGAAAATCTTCAGGCAGTGGGTTTGTTGAATCCCACTTATTTGAAATATCTGTAAGCTTCACAATTCGTGCTCTGTTCTTGGGAATCTTCCATCCAACAATTTCTTTTAGAGTATAAATATGTTCATCTTCACACTCATAAAATTCTCCTTCTTTGGACAAAGGCAGAGTGAAGGAGTGATTTTGATGCTTCCTTACTACTCCACAGTTCACCACTATTTTTCCATTAATCTCTTCGACTGAATTGAACATGATTTGCTCACCCTGCTTTATGGTGAAATTTTCTAGTTTTATATTCTTCTGATGATAGAAACAAGGATGTCCTAATCGACTTGGTCCAATTTTAATGGTTCTAGTAATTTCTTCCACGGAAGCATATGGAGTTTTATCAGCCACAATCTTAAAAAGGCCTAAGAAAAAATGTTATATATTAAATTCTTACCACAAAAAATTATGATAGGAAAAGCACAATAAGAGAGGCATTAAATAACTATTACAGAACTTTTCAAGTAAAATTTCTTTTTGATGATTGTTGATATTTGCATTAATCTGAATTCCTTTAGATAAAATGTTAACATATTATTTTCAAATTATTATCATCAGATCAGGTAACATAGAGAAAAGGGGGGCATCTCTGGAAATCGAAAACATTTGGCTCTTGGAAATGAGCTATTTCAATGCGATGCCACCAAGCAAGACATTTAATCTCTCAAGACCACATTTTTTAACTTATATTTTTTAAATGAGTAAATTATATCAGAACAATTTGTAGTCCCTAAGTATAAAAACAAGAAATATTTCAGAAGGAAATTGGTTCACAACAGAATAATGATTATAAAGCTATGCAGTTGGAACTGAGTAGTAGAAAATGATGATTGGACACAAAATTGGGAATTTGCTTAAAATAATTGTGCATTTTATGGATATACTAACTTTTAAATCCCTTTTGGGAATTTAACAAGTAAATTTTTTAAAAATTCCAGAAAAAAATAAGAACAAAGAAAAAATCTGCTTTTTTTCTACAGAAAAATTAAAAAAAAAAAACCTTAAAACCTGATACAGCCCAGAAATCACATAAACATGTGTTCTAATCAATATATTCCAAATTATTATTAACCAAATTATAACAACTTTTATGTACATTTTGGAGTATGAATTAAAGACCTTTTGTTAACTCTATTTTTTTTTTGAAAGTCAGATATACAGAAAGGATGAAACAGAGGAAAATCCTCCGTCTGCTGATTCACTCCTCAAGTGGCCGCAGTGGTCAGAGCCACACCAATCTGAAACCAGCAACCACAAACTTCTGGGTTTCCCACGTGAGTGCAGGGTCCAAAGGTTTTGGGCTATCTTGGACTGCTTTCCCACGCCACAAGCAGTGAGCTGGATGGGAAGCAGGGCTACCAGGGTTAGAACCAGCGCCCATATGGGATCCTGGTGTGTGCAAGGTAAGGACTTTAGCCATTAGGTTACTGTGTGGGCCCATTAACTCCTTTTGCTTATGCACACACACACAAAAAAAGGTTATTTTCAGACAATAACTTCCTGGGAGGAAAAGTGTGTGAGTGATGCCATCTTGATAAGAATTTAATAAGGTAGCATATGCAATGTACCCTAAAAACTTTAAAAAGGAAAAATATAATTTGTTGAGTGATGTGCTTAAAGACAATAAGAGAAACATTTACTTTGAATGAATTGCTCATTTTGTTGTATCTTATATTTCAGAAAATCCAACAAAAGTTTCTTTTTATATATGTATCTGAATATGTTGAGGTTGGGCTGGGGTACCTGCATAATTAATCTCATTTGTCTGTGTCTGAAGATTTATTTCTGTAGCTTCTCAATCATTGTCAGGGTACAGATAATATAGTAATTTTTGTGAACCGAGTTTCTAGCTACCTAGAATTTCAGAAAAGGTTTCTACTTTATGGTAAGGCTTTTACAATAAACTAAAAGCATGTAGTTTTACTTCTACTAGCTTTATTGATATCATAAGTCACAGAAGGATTAATTCAGCTTTCTTGGGGAATGGAAATCATGTAAGGTAATAAAAGTCCTAAAATATTATCAAGTAGAAAAAATACTGACACCCTAAGGGCCACCATTATTTCAAACTAATCATAATCTTCAGAGTTGTCTTGTTGAATGTCTCTATTGAAAGAAAAATGTAGCCATGCAACTGTATGTTTTGCTGGTGTATTTTCCTACTTTTCCAGGAAGTTCCTGAGTTAGCATGCTAGGTGTAAGGATACAGCCAAAAGTATTTGATTACTGCCTCACATACCATTGTAGCCAGTCCCTAGAGCATCTCCTTCTAAACAGCTACTTAGTATTATAAAACTAACACAAATTCTTTTCTAATGTGACATGATTATGGAATTTCCATTTCACAATAAAAGATGTCAAATATAAACTAACACACCACTGGAATTGATCAACTCTAAATTTAATCAATGACTCCTTTCTTTTTTCACAAAGATTTTAATAGCTATATACTAGGGGAAATATGTTTTATTATGCCTCTAAAGAAAAACAAAGCACATTTTAGGAGTGTAGTAATTACAACAGTTAGAAAAATGGGCCAGTTTTTATACAATATACAATCGTTATGTTACAAAAAGGAGGAAAAATTATCTATTTTCACCTTGAATTATTAACTATTAATAGATTTTGTAATTATTTTTAAATTAGGAGAAAATGGGAGAATCAAGATGGCAGAATAGGGTAAGGACATATTTAAACAGACAGAGAAACATTTAATCAGGATGAAGCAGAGAGGACATATTCCAGGAAATAGGAGAGGACAAAGCAACAGCAGAGCGGTACCTGGAGACTGACAGACAAAAGAAAGTAGCAAAAACAAAGGTATGGTGTTGCAGTGACTGATACTCCAACAGCATTCAGCTAAAGGTGATCTAAACTCCACCAGCAGCCAGGTAGGAAGGCACTTTCACTGCGATTTTGGGAGGTGAATGCAGACAAGGAACTATCCATTCTGCTGGTCTGTTTGATTTGACCAGGAGCAGAGACAGAGCAGCAGATCCCAGATGGGCAGTGCAAGAACAGGGTGGATTTCATAGCCCAGTCAGCCCTCTAGAACTGAATTGAGCGCCATTTTGCTTAAGGAGATAAAGGCAAGGGAAAGAACGGAGCATATGCTGAGATGGGAGTGAACTCTTTTCTGACTCAGTGAACTGCATCAACGTGGCATCCTACAGGTACTACCCAAAACAGGTCTGGGTAGCCCTCAGACCTGATAGCCAGCAGATCAAGAACTCTAGTAGTGGCATGTCAGGTGCCATTTTCTACACTGTGGCAAAAGTTTTAAGACTGCAGGGAACAACAGTGAATTGCACATGTGCTGAGTTCCCGAGAACTCACAGAGTTCAGTGGGTTGCACTGGTCCCACAGGAAGATAATACCAACTGTGGCATTGTATGGGTCAAAGTAGGTCTTTGTAGTACCCGGACCTAATGATCAGCAGGTTCCAACAAGATCAGTGCCACCAACAACCTAGCAATATAAGGTAGCTGGTATCTCCCTAATTCTGGAATCTGCTCCAACTGGAAGTGAGAGAAAGGTTGAGGAGACAACAGTACACCCTCAGCATGGTGTTACAGTAGGTGGAGCCACGGGTTGGGACTACGGAGACCACAGTGGAAATCTATCTTAAGAACCCAGACTTGGAACTTCCTCGAGAGAGTGGCACAATTGGCTATAAGCAAAGAGCTGTGTACCAACTGCAATAAGTAAAATCAAACTGTAGATCTGTGGGTAACACAGCTTAGAAACCTGCGCCAAGAAGAAGAATCTGATACTTAGAAGTACAAAGACCAAGAACAAAAGAAGAAGAGACAGAAGCACAATGCATATTACTGAAAACTCCCCTGCAAAGGAGCAAATCCCTTTGCCAACCTCAGAGTTAACTGAGGAAGACATTAAGAAAATGGGGACACAGAATTAAGAAAACTCATTTTAAAGCTTCTATCAAAAATGAGAAACACATACAGGAGTTCAAAGAACTTAAGGAATGTGTTAAACAGGAAATATCATCAATAAAGCAAATCAAGACTGATATATCGAAAATTAAGAACACAGTAGAGCAAATTAAAAGTGTAATGGAGAGTCTACAAAGTAGAATGAAGCAAGCACAAGAAAGAATCTCAGAATTGGCAGACATTTCCTGTCATCAGGGGGAAGCAAACAAAATGCTGGAAGCAGAGCTAGGTCAGGCCAAAAAAGTATTCAAGAATCGAAAGACACTGTTAAGAGGCCAAATATGAGTTATGGGAGTCCCAGAAGGTGCAGAAAGAGAAACTGAATTTGCAAATGTATTTAATGAAATAATGAAGGGAAATTTCCCTTATCTAGAGAAAGAATTGGGAAGCAACATCCAGGAGGAGCACAGAACTCCCAACAGGCTTGATCAAAAGCGATCTTCACCAAGACACACGATCATCAAGCTCTCTTCAATTGAACATAAGAAAAAGATCCTTAAATGTGCAAGTGAACAAAATCAATTGACATATAGAAGATTGCCAATTAAACTCACAGGAGATCTCTCACAGGAAACTCTACGGGCAAGAAGAGAATGGAGTGACCTATTCCAGATTCTAAAAGAAAAACATTGTGGGCCTAGGATAACATATCCAGCAAAGCTTTCTTTTGTCTTTGAAAATGAAATAAAATTCTTCCACATTCAAGAAAAGTTACAAGAATTTGCCTCTGTCAAGCCTGCCCTACAAAGGATACTTCAAGATGTTCTCTTGACAGGGAAGAGGAATAGCACCCAACAAAACCAAAGGCAAACAGGAAGAACATCCCAATAAAATGACAACAGAAGACTAAACCAATGAACAACCGATTCCTAAAATGACAGGACCAAGCTACCACCCATACATGTTGAACTCTGAATGTAAATGGCTTAAGCTCAATCAAACATCATAGATTAGCAGACTGGATTAAAAAAACAAAACAACATCTACTTATTGTCTAGAAGAGACACACTTCACCAACAAAAATCAGCGAAGATATATTGCATGGATTTTGATATTTTTGTTGTTAGTTTCATCTCTTCCGAACACTTTATTCTGATTAAGTTCTTCAGTGACTCATAGATCATACAGTAGCATCATTTTCTTCAAGGAGATTCTTGATTTTCTTTTTCATTTCCTCAACAACACATTAGTCATTCAGTAGCGTTGTTTAACTTCTTGGTGTTGTTAATTTCTTTTTCTTCCTGTTGTTGATTTTGTTTTGTCGATTTCCATTAATGGGGATGTATAGTAGCTGTGTAATGGAGACTCATCTAGTAACATGTTATTTAACTTCATGGCATTGTAAATATCTATTGTTCTTACATTGTTGATTTTGTATTGTGACTTTTCATTTAAGGGGATATATAGTAATT